GCAGCAGCGCCGTGCGTCTCGGCCTCGGGCTCAGGCTCCCCCGCGCGTTTCCAGCGAGGCTGCCATCTCCTCCGCCGCCTGCAAGATAAATGTGATTGGAATAATGTTACAGTTCGATCCAAGCACAGGATTTAATTAATGAACTTTAATCTCCCAAATAACCAGGGGGAGGAGGGAGGGAAAGGGAGGGGCAAAGGGAAGTAGCAGAGGGTGGGGGTGTAGGCTGGAAGGCTGCAGCCCGCGCCAACGGCCTCGCTAGCCGAGGATGCCCTCCAGCAAGTGGCTGTGAGGAGACAGACGCCCAAACTTAGTTTAATGGACCATTCATTACTTTATAAAATATATCACGGAATAGAGAGATAAATAACTGCATTTGCTGCCCTTAGGATAAGCACCAGCTGGGTGCTCCTCAGTAGTGTGATGCAGAGAGTGGTTTTAAGGAAAGCAAACGTTGAGAAGCTGTTTTCCTCACCACCACCAGGCACCACCCTGAACCCCCTGGGACAGCACCTACCTCAGCATCTCAGCAAGGAAGCCCCCCCCCATAGCTGGGCCAGCCTGCTTTGCGGCGGGGGTGGGGGGGTTTGCTTCAAATCTCTTTGGGATTTTCTAGGACTTCACCTGGTCCCCCTTTTGTCCCTGGAAGGTGGGTACTGCCTACAAAGCTGTGGAGTGAGTTGTGGGTGACCAGGGCCTGGCTTGGGCTCCAGTGCTTCTCCCAGAGCCTGACCTTGTGCACCCAGCTGGGGGAACGGGGTGGTTGCATGTCAGTTGAGTAGGTTTGGAGCCCTTAGCTGGCACTGAAGTCTCCTTTGCTCAGTTTTGGTACCCACCAGCTCTGGGTAGGCTAGGTAGGTGGCCTGAGTTGCCCAGTATTGTAAACACACAGATTCTCTTTACTGGAGCTTAAGAACCAGGTGAGAGAGGCTGTCTTGGAGGGTGGTAGGAGAACTCAGTGTTTAATACTCTGAATTGCTTGACCTTAAATTTGTTTATCATATTCATATGTTATCTGCTTTAATATCTATTGAAATACTCATCAGTCCACTTTCAGTCCTGCTGTTGGGTGCTCCAGGGAGGCACATATGTTTCTTTAATGCTGTCCTTTGCAATTAGCTTATGGCGTATTCCACCCTAGCTTTGCCCTTGTCTTGATCCTCCCCAAACTGGTCAATAAGCACTAATAAAAGAAGCTAGACGTTAGAAATTGGAGTCTGTAAGCCCATTCCAATAAAGTGAGTTGAGATTTTTCCAAAGTAGTTATGATTTCCTTCTCTTGTGAACTTCTAGACTTATCGTGAATTTCAGTGGACCCAATGTTATAGACTGTTTGGGGCTGCTAACTGGTGGAAGAATTGAACTGGGCTACAAGCTCCTGCAGAGGAAGGGTCATCCTTCTCCAATACTGTCCCACATAGAGGGTATGCTCACTAAATGTTTGAAGACCAGATGAGCTTTCTTGCTAACTATATTTGTCTCATTGTGGACAGTGACACATGGAATACCCTTGCTTGTTTCCAACAACAAAGAGGATAGGCTTGTACCTACTAAAGACATTTATAAAAATGTGGGTCAAGAGGACATAATATTAAAAAATCTTACATGACTTAACATGATGAATACATGAATCATGATTTTTGAATAATTACTTTTCCTTTTTAATAGGAGAAGGTTGCATGAGCAGAGTATAAAATGCCAAAGGGAGTGAGAATTTAGGAGCACTAACTAGGAATTACACATGTTGGAAAAACTCTTCTTGAATAAGAGGTCAGAGTAACACGCTGTGGAGATGCAGCCCCGGTAGTGGCACATTTTGAGGCTCTGGAGTAGGCAGAGATGATCTCAATTTTCCCTGTGGCATACTGGGAGCTATGTGACTTTGCGTGAGTTACCAACGTCTTTGTGTTTCAGACTCCTCATATGCAGAACCAGCGTGAAAATCTCCTAGGTTTTGCAGTAGGAGTAAACACCCTAGCGTGTACAAAACCATTATTAAATATGAACTAAACAGCTAAGCGGTTAGTGTGTTTCCTGACTCCATTAACATTGCTACAATAAGGATGTACTTGGGTGAGGCACTTCCTTATACAGAATGGCAAATATCAAGAAATTCCAATAACCTCTGTAAAACAGCATTCTAGGCTTTCCTAAGACTGGGATATGGATTCACTCTGCCTGGATATAAAAATTGATGTGTTACTTATGGTGCACCTCTAAAGAAAGTTCTAGTAGGGTAACTCTCATATTGCATATGGATCACTGAGGGCCCCATGGCATGAAGGGACCAAATCAGCTGGAAAATAAACAGACAGGCAGGCATTCTCATTACAGGTGCTAAGTCCATTGGTGAAAATGGATTGCTCAATAATTACCAGGGCGATAGTCCTGGTGGTGGGGCTTCAAAGAGCAACTGCAGCTGCAGGATGTAGAAAGTTTTTTCAGTCTTGGGATTACAGCAATTTAGTAAACTAAAAAAAAAAATAATAATAATTAAGACCTGCCTACAAATAGCACTCATCAAGTTTTATTGCAAATCAGCCCTGTATGGAAGTGTGGGAGTGTGAAAACAAGAAATACAGACATGAAAAATCCCTGGAATGTCATATTTTCCAGAAGAGTCATGATTTTAGCACTTACTTCCACACATCCACATCCCTATGTGCTCACCTACCTTCTGCAAACATGACTCTGTTGCCCTGTGGCCTCTCACCAACTCCTACCTAAAGGAGATCACCTTAAGATGGTGTTGAGCAGGCCATTTGTCAATTGGCTTATTGCAGTTGGCTTGTACTTGTAATTCAGAGCTGGTCTGATGCTTAAATGCACAGCTTAATGGCTGCAGCTGGCGAAGCAGAAAGAGAACTCTACGTGCCAGTGGCCACAGCTAAGACCAGCCCAGGGCAGCAACACTGTGGAGCTATACAGCTCATCCTCTACAAAAAGTTAATGTTAATCTAGGGAAAGAACAAGTTCCCATTAATCTAAGATTCACTTCTTGCAAGAATGCTCTGTTCTATTCTTGCTAGGCCTTGTTCATGTTAGTACCTCTGATCATTACCCTACATACCTGACTATATGCCCACTTTGCTGCTTTGTGCTAAATAAATACTGGCAAGCCTGGAGGTTCAGGGTCTTTGCTCACTAGAATCTCTGACTTCCTGGGCCTCACTTCATTTATGGTTTATTTTTCTCTTCATTTCACCTCACATACCTAATTGGAGGTAGGAGACTTCACTGGGGGTCCCTGATAACTGGCACCCAGAAAAGGAACCTTCCTTTTAGCAGAGCAGGTACAAGGGCCACCAAGAGTAGATGGAGAGCCATGGGCTATGCAGCAGTGATGGAATTTCATGGAACAAATTTTGGTGACAGTTGCTCAGGCACAGGATTGGTAAGTATTGCTGCTGCTGCAAAAGGAAATTTTCTATTGACTGGGATCTGATATGGGGCATAATTTGTCAACTGAAGAATGCAGGTATGCGCATTTGCTTCAGGTTTCACTTAAACAGTCAGGAGCCCAAGTGCCAGATAACTCCCTATCCAGAATGTTACAGGAAATAGTTATATGTAACCCTTGTTTTTTCTCAGGTGGGGAGAGTAGATAACTGAATGCTGGGAATAAGTGGGAAAAGTCTTAAAAACAAGCCCATGGGAAAGGAGAGATCATCTCCCCAGAAACCTTTGCTACTTGGAATTTAGTCCAATCTGTTCTTGATCCCCTACACCCTATGTGATCAGTATCTTTAGTGTCAGAGAAAGTGAAAGTGGCAGTAGCAGCTGCTGAAGTCGCTGAGGCAGTGAGAGAAACTTCCCCTGCAGCTCCTGTTTCTCCTTCTTCAGAGGAGGGGGTGGAGGGAGACTTGCCACCATTCCTGGGTGCCATATTGATAACATCAAGCAAAAAAGTAAATTGTCTCAGTGTCAAAAAGCTGCAGTGAGGGGTGAGACTTTTGGTGGGCCTGCTTGCTTTCAAGAAGGAATTCAACCAGAGGATTACTATGAGGGACAGCAGGTAAGTATCCATTCTCCAGCTCAGTATTTACAATTTAATATGAGACTTAGAAATGCAGAGCCCATAAAAATGGGAAGGAAATCACCTAGATGATGTAGAATAGTACATGTCAGAGACAGATACCTGTGTGCCTTTGAATACACAGCAAGGGTATTCAAATGAGGGTATGGACAGACAGGGGATGCCATGAGGGCAGCATGGTCTTTCATGCAGAGGATGGAATTCTAACTCAGTCTTTTTTACATATTTTACAGGTACCCACATAATTATATATTCAATTTTGTTGCTAGAGTTCAGGAGACTGGGTGCTGACAGGTCCTTCATACTGAGGCAGGAGATATTTTGATCTTACAACTAGCTTACTCTAACGCTAATCAAGACTGCAAACAGACTTTATATCTAGTCTGCATTTCCAGTGATCTAAGGGCTTATATTGGGACATGCCAGGATATTAGCACTGAGACTTACAAATCTGATATGATAGCTCAAGCAATGATGAAATTTTCTACTGATAAAATTAAAACAAAAATTGTTATGTGCAGTAATTCAGGACACTTAAGAAAGGATTACAAAGTGCGTAAAAATATAAATTCTAATTCTTCCTCAGGAAAATTCCAAACAGGCTCCTACTACTACTACATGCTCTTGCTGTGAAAAGGGATGCCACTGGACTAGCCAACGTTGCTCCAAATATCATAAAAATGAAACCCCCTTGACAGGAAAAGGGAGATAGTTCCTTCCCCAGGGCCCTTCAAAAGACAGAGG